AAAAAAAAAAAGTGCAGACTTGGACCAGACTGCTTTGGAACACAAGTTATGGCGGGGTTTTTACCCCATATGCTAGTGCTGGATGAGATTGGAAATAAATTCTGATCTGCAGGGCTGTCTGAGCTCTGTTTCATTAATGGTTGGAAGGTATTATCTCCCTGACAGTGCTCCCAAGGGAGTCAGGCAATAGCTGCTAGACCACCAGTCACCGGTCTCAGGCACACTTTGGGTTGTCAGTGTTGCCCCTGTGCTGGCCATTTTAAATGTTCACAAGATCCTTCTACTCAGTCACCAATTCCTTCATCAGTACTTTGAGTTCTGGTTCTGGTTGCTTTTACTGACTTTGAACAGGTGCATCACATGTTTCACTATTCCCCGCAGGTTGTTTGGGCAACAAGTTACAAAGTTGGCTGTGCAGTTCACTTCTGCCCTAGAATTCACAATCTTCAAGGATTCAACAATGTGGCACATTTTGTTTGCGACTATGGGCCAGCGTAAGTCAATTATGACATTTGGGGTTTCATGTTTTTGTTTTTAAATATGCTTTAACTGACGACATCAGATTTTACCAATGGCAGGAGTGGTTATAACAAATTTCAGAGCTATGTCCACCAATCAGTGGTTCCACTGACCATCTAGAGCATTAGGTGCTGGGCAGTCTGAGCTGCAGCAAATCACTATAAAAGCAGACAAGCAGATCCTGGCAGAGGGCACGCACTGTCAGCAAGGCCTGTGGAATAAAATCCAGTTTCTGGACAAAATGAGATTGAGAGAAGACCTCACCTTCTCACGCACTACCTTCTCACAGCTACCTGAACGGAGGTTGCAGTGAGTGGGATGTCAGTCTCTCTTCTCAGGCGACAATTGATAAGATGTGAAGAAATAGCTTCAAGCTGTGCCAGGGGAGGTTTAGATTAAATATTAGGAAGAATTTATTTGTAGAAAGTTGGTCAGGCATTACTGACCAGGGAGGTGGTGGTGTCCTTGTACCTGGAGGTATTTCAGAGATGTGTGGACATGGCATTAAGGGGCAAGGATCAGTGCTGAACCTGGTAGTGTTAGCTGATGGTTGGACTATGTTATCTTAAGTCCCTTTTCCAACCTAAATTGTTCGCTGATTCTAGTATAAAAGGAAGACAGTGCTCAAGTTTTTCTCATGCTTTGTGATTTCTAGACATATATTTTATGGATTTTTTAAAAATACAGATGGGTAATGAGGGGCTAAAAGCAGATTCCCAGATATTTGGGCTGAATACTACAGCACTGCACAAGAAACCTCCCCATGTCAACAAGGGTATGAATCTCACCTAAGCAGAATTTCAAATAATGATAATGATCCTTTTTTGGAATAAGGGTTGTTTTGCCTAATAATAGCTTCCCAATATATATTATTCTAGCAGTGTAATGAAAATGTGTGTTTAAATTGCTCTTCCAAACACTGAGCTAACAAAATACTGTTCTTCTCCTCCTCAGGGGGAATTACCCAACAAAACCTTATAAAGCAGGACGACCATGTAGTGGATGCAGTAGCGACCAGTGTGTAGGAAATCTCTGTGGTAAGATAAAAGTGATTCACTAAGGAGATTGCATAGAAATAGTGGTGTCATAAGTATCAGTAAAAATACAGTAATAGGTCAGTTTGCACTAAATACATAGTGGGTCTGTAGCCCACCACAGGACTAAAGTCAGGTTAGGATAGTATATGAAGTTATCAATTGGAATATTTTGTAATTTAAGGTTACTGGAGGTACAAAGCAGGGTTTCCAATCAAAAGATGTATCAATTAGATTACTTTTTGCCTTTTATCTGATAGGGAAGTCAAAACTAAAATATCCCCAACGAATATTCCCATCTGATTTTTTTTTTCCCTTGGAGAAATTGTATATTTAACTTTCCCATTCATTTAATATATCCTAACACATTTTCCAGAAAACTATAGTTCCGAACCAATAATGAGACTATACTGAAAAATACTTTCATTTAACTGTTAGAATTTTCTGAAATAGTGCAATGAGAGCTTGTTTTTCCACAGCAGTTTGCAGCTGTGGACCTTAATTGTCTCACCCAGCCCCAACTTAGTCAGAAAAAGCATTTTAAATAGTCAGAGGGTAACAGGCATGCAACAGTGTCTTAAATATTACTTTTGTGCAGAGTTTTACAGGAGATATTCTTTACTAGCCAGAATCTAGATAGCTTCAGCTGTAAAAATAATTGAGCATTTGCTATTCATTTTCCCTCTGTAATGTTCTGGCTGACTCAGTTTGACTCAGTTTGAAAGTCACAGGCTGACAGGCCACAGAAAGACTATCAGCATCACAAAAACTACAGGGAGGGAGACGAAAAAGAGAGCTTCTGTTAGTTCAGTGCTAGATCCTACAACCAGTTTTGCTATATTCTCCTATAAGACAAAGACTGTTGCATTGATGTCTTTTTTCTGATCTCTCCACAGTAAATGCAGAACGTGAGAAACTTATAAGTATGTATTCAATTGCTTTTCATTGTTTTGTTACGAGTATGGCTAAGTTGATCAGGCTTTAACAGTCATTTCTTTATTCCTTTGTAGGTTATACCAACTGGTATCCGGACTGGGACACTCAGCCTCCAGCCCCTCAGCCTCCGGCCCACACACCCACAGCTGGGCAGCTGCATTCTTCTTGTGACCACTACTGTATTAGTGTCTTGATTTTAAGGCCACTATTTTTGGTACTGAGTGCTGTAGGTGTTCGTTTAGTACAGCGGTGGTTTCCACACTCGTTTATGTATGTGTAATGATTGTTAAGATACTGATAGCGATTCTACCATTCCATTAGAGAACTGCATGTTTGATAAAAAAAAAAGCCATCTCTGCTATACCTTTGTGGTGTTTATCCAATGCAGAATGCTTCTGCATTCAGGGCAAGATTTAAATGGCTGTGCATGGAGTTGCTGTGATTTATTAGCGTGGCTTCTACATCTGTAAGAGCTTCTTAGCTCTGCTTCAGGGGTAGTTTGCTGGAAAGATCATGTAGGCAGTGTACTGCCTTCTGGAAACCTGGAGCATCTCAAAGCTCTAACTGAATCATAGAATCAAAGAGTATCCCAAGTTGAAAGGGACCTCAATGATTATTGAGTCCAACGTCCAGCTTCATACAGATCGCTCAAAAATCAGGGTATCTGAAGTGAAAAAGGCCAACAAAAAAACTCTTTTTAAGGCTTTTTTGAATTCAGCAAGGGGTGGAGCTGGCACATTAGTGGCACAGTTTAAACACCCTATGAACGTGTCATCACCCACCCTTGACGTTGGCACCTGGTGATAAGCTTTAAATAGCCTGAGGGAACACAGAGCACAGCAGGTGAGTAACCACTGTCACCCATTGAGAATGGGGAGGTTCTCAGGAACTGCAGGCCTAAACATGGTCTCCACCAGACAGTGGGTTTATTCCAAGAAGACTGTGGCGACCCAGACAGAGGGCCTGCCCAGAAGTGTGGCTGTTCAGGTCTCCAGCTCCAAGGAGTGCCTGAGCCTGCTGCTGCCCAGGGGGGTGGCAGGGATTCTACCTGCATGAGGTGAGAGCAAGTGGATGAGCTGCTTAGCCTGGTGGTGGAGCCCATGAAGGAGGTGGAGAGACTACGGACCATTAGAGAGTGTGAGCGGGAGATCGACTGGTGGAATGACTCGCTGGCTTGCCAGAGGGAAGGGTGCCAGGGAGATACCCCCAGAAAAGTGGTTGACTCCCTGCCCTGTCACAATCAGACAGACCTGACAGATGAGGAGGGTTGGAAGAGAGTCTCAACTCAGCATCACTGCCTAGCCTGCTTCCCCAGCTCCCACTAAGCAACAGGTTTGAGACGCTGGAAATTGAAGGGGCGGTAAATAGTGAGGTGATGGAGGATCTCCCTAGGAGGGAGCCTAAGGCAAGGCAGTCACCCCCACACCTTTAGACTGCCTCTGTCAGGAAAGAAAGAAAGGTGATCGTAGTGGGTGACCCCCTTCTCAGAGGAATGGAGGGCCCCATATGCAGACCAAACCAGAGCTGTTGGGAAGTGTGCTGCCTTCCTAGGGCCCAGATCAGGTACATAACCAGGAAACTCCCAAAACTGATTAGGTCCACTGATTACTTCCCATTATTCATAGTTCAGGTGGGCAGTGATGAAATTGCTCAGAGAAGCCTGTGAACTATGAAAAGAGATTTCAGAGGTTTAGGGCATTTAGTTCAAGGAGAAGGAGTTCAAGTGATCTTTTGTTCTATATCTTCAGGGGCAGTGAAGGACATGGAGCGGGCTTGGAAAGCACAAGCAATGAATAATTGGCTCAGAGGCTGGTGTCGAAGCAAAACTTTGGGTTCTTTGATCATGGGGCAGTTTACTAAGCCCCTGGCCTGTTGTCCATCCATGGAACCTACCTATCTCAAAGTGGGAAATAATCCTCAATAGAGCTAGCAGGGCTTATCGAAAGAGCTTTAAACTAGCTATGATGGGGGAAGGGGACAAAACAGGGCTCACCAGAAACGAGCCTAGGGGAACAGTGCTGGAGCTGGGGGAGAAGCAGATGACTCAGCTGAAGTGCATCTACACCAATGCAAGCAGCATGGGCAACAAGCAGGAGGAGCTGGAAGCGATTGTACGGCAGGTTAATTATGACCTAGTTGCTATTACCGAAACATGGTGGGACCATTCCCATGACTGAAGTGATGGATGGCTACAAACTCTTCAGAAGGGATAGACAAGGAAGGAAGGGTAGTGGTGTGGCTCTTTATATTAAAGTGTGTTTTGATGTTGAAGAGCTTGGGGTTGGGAATGATAAAGTTGAGTGTCTATGGGTAAGGATCAGGGGAAGGCCTGTGGGGGCGACATCTTGGTGGGGGTCTGTTATAGACTGCCTAATCAGGATGAAGAGATGGACGAGGCATTCTATGAGCAGATTGCGGAAGTTGCACAATCGCCAGCACTCGTTCTCGTGGAAGACTTCAACTTCCCTGATATATGTTAGAAATATAATACTGCAGAGAAACCAGTCCAAGAGGTTTCTAGAATGCATGGAAGATAGCTTCCTTATACAGCTGGTATGAGAGCCTACCAGGGGTGTGCCCTGCTAGACCTGCTCTTCACTAACAGAGAAGGACTGGTGGGAGATGTGAAGGCTGGGGACTGTCTTGGGCAAAGCAACCATGAAATTGTAGAATTCTCTATTCTTGGAGATGTGAGGAGAGTGAGTAGCAAAACTGCTATCTTGAACTTCCAGAGGGCGGACTTTGACCTGCTCAGGATGCTTGTTGCAGGGGTCCCTTAGGAGTCGCTCATAAAGGGTAAAGGGGTCCAGGAAGCCTGGATGCTCCTCAAAATGGAAATCTTAAAGGCACAAGAACAGGCTGTTTCTGAATGCTGTAAGGCAAGCCGTAGGGGAAGAAGACTGGTGTGAATGAACCGGAAACTGCTTTTGAGACTCCAGAAGAAAAAGAGGGTCTATGTCCTTTGGAAGAAGGGACAGTCTACTTGGGGAGATTACAAGGAAGTTACTAAGGTATGCAGGGAGGAAGTTAGGAAGGCAAAAGCCCAACTCAAGCTCAGACTGGCCACTGCAGTAAAAGAGAATAGGAAATCCTTTTACAAATATATCAGCGGTAAGAGAAGAATCAAGGAGAATTTCCATCCTTTACTTGATGCAGCAGGGAATGTGACCACTGAGGATAAGGAGAAAGCTGAGGTCCTGAATGCCTTCTTTACATCTGCCTTTAATAGGTAGATCAGTTATCCTCAGGGCACTTTAGGCCCTGATTTAGAAGTCTGGGATGCTATGCAGAATACACCCCCGGTGATTCAAGTGGAGATGGTTAGAGAACACCTCCTCCATCTGGACTGTCACAAGTCCATGGGACCAGACGGGCTCCACCCTCGGGTGCTGAGGGAGCTGGTGGAGGTTGATTGCCAAGCCGCTCTCTGCCATCTATCAGCACTTCTGGTTATCTGGAGACGTCCCAGAGGATTGGTGGCTTGCCAATATGGCTCCCATCTACAAGAAGGGCCATAAGGAGGATCTGGGGAACTACAGGCCTGTCAGCCTGACCTTGGTACCAGTGAAAGTAATGGAGCAAATCATCTTGGGTGAGATCACATGGCACGTGTGTGGCATCCAGGGGATGCCAGCCAGCACGGGTTCATGAAAGGCAGGTCATGCTTGACCAACCTCATCTTCTACGACTGGGTGACCAGACTGGTAGATGGGGGAAAGGCTGTTGATGTAGTCTACCTAGACTTCACCAAAGCCTTTGACACAGTCTCTCACAGTATTCTCCTTGGGAAACTGGCTGCCCGTGGCCTGGACAGGTATGCCCTTCTTTGGGTAAGGAACTGGCTAGAGGGCTGTGCCCAACAGGTAGTGGTAGTGGTTAATGGAGTTAAATCCAGCTGGTGTCCCCCAGGGGTCAGTGCTGGGGACCACCTTGTTTAATATCTTTATTGATGACCTAGATGAGGGGATTGAGCGTACCCTCAGTAAGTTTGCAGATGACATCAAGTTGGGAGGTGGTGTTGATCTGCCTGAGAGTAGGGAGGCCCTTCAGAGGGATCTGGATAGGTTGGACCGCTGGGCTGAGGTGAATGGGATGAGGTTCAACAAGGCCAAGTGCCGGGTCCTACACTTTGGCCACAACAACCCCATGCAGCTCTATAGGCTTGGGGACAAGTGGCTGGATGATTGTGAAGAGGAAAGGGACCTGGGGGTGTCGGTTGATGCTCAGCTGAACATGAGCCGACAGTGTGCCCAGGTGGCAAAGAGGGCCAATGGCATCCTGGTCTGCATTAGAAATAGTGTGGCCAGCAAGAGCAGGGAGGTAATCATCCCCCTTTTAGCACTGTCAGCACTGGTGAGGCCGCACCTCGAGTATTGTGTTCAGTTTTGGGCCCCTCACTACAAAAAAGACATTGAAGTCCTGGAGCGTGTCCAGAGAAGGGCAACGAAACTGGTGAAGGGTCTGGAGCACAAGTCCTACAAGGAGCGGTGAGGGAGCTGGGATTGTTTAGTCTGGAGAAGAGGAGGCTCAGGGGAAACTTCATTGCACTCTACACTTTCCTGAAGCAAGGTTATGATGAGGAGGGGTTTGGCCTCTTATCCCCGGCAACAAACAGGACCTGAAGAAATGGCTGCAAGTTGTGCCAGGGGAAATTTAGATTAGACATAAGGAAAAACTTCTTCTCTCAGAGAAGTGGTCAGGCACTGGAATGGCCTGCCCAGGGAGGTGGTGGAGTCGCCATCCCTGGCAGTGTTCAAGAGATTCTGGATGAGGAGCTACGAGATATGGTTTAGTAGCTTGTCATAGCAATGGTAATGGGAGGATGGTTGGACTAGATGATCTTGTAGGTTCTTTCTAACCTTGTGATTCTATGATTCTGTGATCAAACCCTATGTCTGAGAGCATCATCCAAGTGCTCCTTCAGCTCTTAAGTTGAACTTAACTCTGGATCCAAAAGAAGCAATAACTCATTTTCATTAAATTTCAATTATCCCAAGCATCATTTTCTCTTGATATTGGAGATTTAACTATGTATTACTTTTAAAGAAGAGGAAGAATAAAACTTGTCCTTTACTAAGCCTATATGTGCTAGTCTCCATTTAAGTTACTCTATTGTCAGTGGTACCATTCCATTCTTCTCTCAGAGCTAATCTTTGTCCTCTGTAGGTCAAAAAATACAGGGGAAGATTGACAGAGCGAGGTTTAAAATTGAGTGCCAGTGGAAGAAACCTAATATTAGGATGTATGGAAAGTGACAAAACCTGACATGAGGAGTAGGTAACATCCACCCTGAGCTGGCAGAGAGAGGGAGTGGGAAGTGAGGAGGAAAGCCAGGTGTGGGAGAAATGAGGTGGGCTCAGAACAGGTTCTGGTTCAGAAATGAAAATCTTAGCCTCATTCAAAAAGCTGGAATCACTGATGGCTTCGGTTTGTTTTTAGAGACTTTTGGCCTCAACCACCTATTGTTCCTACATACCTCTGTTAGCAAAGGAAAACAAACTCTGTCTGAAAGCCATGCTTCAAGTTAAGAAATACTGGCTGAAATTAGCATGCATAACTACTATTCATATTTCTTCTCCTTTATCTTAGACCTATATTTTTTGAACACAGTATCTCAAATTCTGAGCCACGATGTAGCTCACAAGGAACATGGCATCACACAAAGAAAATGAGCCCCAAGTATTCAGGCTTTTGTTAAAATGTCACCATATAAGAAAAAAACATATTTAACTTCACCATTGTCAGTTCTTTTCTGCTGCCATCTTTCATACTAAGAGATAAATAAAGATTTAAATTAAAGGCTTTAAATAAAGATTTAGAGAATATATATGCATGCATTTATTATTATTTGCATTTAACAGACAGGATAGCTGACCTGAATTGGCCAAAGGATATATCACATCGTGTAACAGTGTGCTCAGTAATGAAATCCAGAGTCGAGGAAGAAGAGGCAGGGGTTTCTTCCAGGGTGGCCACTGCTGGGCATCTATATATCTGTCTGTGAGGGTGATTGCCTTCACAGCACCTGTTATTTTGTTTGTTTGTTTTTCTCCTTCATCTCCACTTCTGTTGAGCTGTCTTTATCCTGACTCATGAATTTTCTCATCTTTTAATTCCTGCTTTCTCCTCCATTCTGCTGGGAATGGGGATTGATCCAGTGGCTGTGTGGGTGTGTCTTGCTCCAATTTACAGGAGGGAGAAGAGGTTCTTTGATATCTGTATACCCAGAGTGAGATTAAGAAGCAACCGTTCAAATGTTGGTCTGACCAGTTTATTCCAAATCTTAATCAGGGAGATAGGGAAGGGGAGGACGGTCACTATTATGATAGGAAAGAAGCAAGGAGTTTTTATAGGAAGCAAGAGGGAGATAGTCACCACCATGGATCCAGCATGGTTTGTAGCTCAGTCTTCAGTAGTGGTGGATCGTCAGGTGTTGTTCCATTGACAATGATAGTGACCACGGCGATGGCAACTTCTCAATTGTAGCACCAACTTATTTATAAGTCCAAAGTGGTCGAGTCAGCTCTCTTTTGAGTGGCAGCTTCTGGCTCTGGGATCTCAGCAGAAGTTCCTTTGTTCCCATCTTCCAGGCCTTGCCAGCAGATAAGAGGGAACAGGGACGCGCCAACTTGTATCTTGCCTTTAAAGGATACAGTGGTATCATCCTGCAGTCTGCCATAGCAAGCTGGAGTTATTTGATCACAGGTTAGATCTTCTGCCAGTAAACAGTCCTGAGCACTCTCTTCGACTGCAAACAGCTCCAAAGAAATGCTTTCAAATGTAAAATTGTCCACACAGTGATATTGATTGCCACAGGACAACACCCATCACTCATCTCCTAGACAAGTCAGTGGGAAGAAATCCAACTTCATTCCCATGAAGATGTGCAAGTTGGGTCGCAGAAAGGATGCTGAGCTTGGTGGAGAGATTATAGTTACAGGCAGTGTGAGGAAAGGGTGGTGATGGTGGTGGGTCTGGGCAGGGAGTGTTGGGTACGTGAGGCAATGTGACTGGGACAGCAGCTTCTGGGTGAAAAGCCCAGTGTGGGCGCTGGGCACGTAGCATGAGGCAACACCAAGCTCTGTGGCACACAGCTCCACTGCAGGCTTGGGTCACAGGGAGTGATTCATGAATTACTAAAGCTGGGGAGGAAAATTTGGGAGCAACAAATACCACAAGCAAGTGATCACAGAAGAAACCCATCAGTATGCATAGTACATTTAAGCTACACTTCTTAGCCAATAAGTGCAAGTACAGCCAAAGTGACTGCTCTACTATAGTAAAAGATTTAATTCAGATCAATTGTGTCTCATTGCATTTCGTCTCACAGTTGCAGCCTTAACAGCAATGCCATTTTTATGAAAAGCAGAAAAACTATCCAAAACTTTCTTGTAACCCATTGTGATTGCAATGGATGGGAGGTTACAAAAAACAAAGAAGCCCTAGGGCTAGGAGACAAGAAGCTTGCCCACTGCAGTGAAAGGGAAGAGAGAAAAAGATTCTGCAGCTTTAATGTGAATTCGTAGCTTAATTTCCTTATTCTCATAGCAACGCTCTTGAAATATGACTCATTTCCTGTGACATGTGCTGCAGTCAATTACCATGGCTAAGACAAGTCCAGCCCACAAGCCTTCCAAGCAACACAAGCCCACAAGCTGCAAGGAAAGCTAAAGCCACCTTACGCAGCTGAAGTGTTCTGTTCTTCAAGCTGACAGACGGGAGGCTAAGTAACATGATAAGCAGATTTTTCATTTGTGTGCTGGCTTTATTGCATTTCTGCCTTTCTTCTGGCTTCTATCGACCGGAGACGTTGCCTGATATTGGAGATGCAGAGTTTATTGAGGAATGTGTGAGAACGCACAACAGATTCCGGTCTGGAGTGAGCCCCCCAGCCAGCAACATGTTGTACATGGTAAGGGGATATTCACAGTTTACATGCAAGTGTGGTGTTTACAGTTGTAAAGATGGTTTTTTCTAATCAAATGTAAAAAAATGAAAAAGAAACCAACTCCTGCGATCATAGCTGCAGTTCCTCTTTAAAGCAGAAGATAAGGCTCTGATTGTTGGATGGTGTTATACAATCAGATACACGTGTAGCTTTGCCTGACTTAGTTTTTTCATTCAAAACTCAAAATTTCAACCCTAAGCCTAGCAGTGTGAAAAGTCCTGTGAAAAGGTTCCTCGTTACAAGGCATCATAGTTTAGAAGCCTGGGGTGTGATTTATGTGCAGACCTTAGCACACCCTTTCATACTTGAGTTGGCAAGTGCAGAAAACATTGCCAAATGGCTTTGGAGAGCTTTCTTTTAGCTTTCTTTGCAGAGATCTCAGCAGCTTGAGCCAATAGAGAGCTGTTAGCTGCAGCTCCTAGGTGCTGGGCTGCAAAGGAAGCCAAAACAAGTGCAGCAGCAGCAATAGCTGGAGGCATTGGTCCTGCACTGTGGTACCCATCTCTGGCTGCAGCCATGATGCAAAAGGCAGTCTGTTGTGAATTCAAAAGAACCTCAGCCCTGGGAAGTAGATCTAGTGGGGCATTAGGATCCCAAACCTTCACTGCATATTGCTCCAGACCTTTTCTAAAACTTTTTCTGAATGGCTTCACTAGCTCTACACTAACAGAATCTTTCTTGAGTAGTATCCATCTTTTTAAAATTTCAGTGATTTTGTGCCTGATTTTTCTTTTTGAAAAGCTGAAGATCTGGAACCAGGAAAAAAAAAGAAAAGCAAACAAAGACAGGTCAACACAAGAAGAGAAGAACTAAAATAATGGCAGATTTCTTTTAAAGTGCTGCGAAAAAAAACTAGTCTTGGGTATGACCTCTCCCAGTAAGAATTTGTTGTGGGTAAAGCAGTAAAATACATTATAAAATCAATGAGAAAAGTAGAAGTATTGGAATTGAAAAGAGCATATATGTTCATTGTTGTAATTGACCTTAGCACTACAAAAATGAGGAAAACAAAAAAACTTTTTTATTTCTCAGAACACTTCTGTTTCCTGCTGATAACTGTCCATCTAGATGCATAAAAATGAAGGATATGAACTCAAGGCGTTTCCATCCTTTGAGAAAAAAATACTTTTTAAAACAAAATACAAGACAGAAACTCCTTTAAGCATAAGTGACAAAGCCTAGCCAGCTACATTTGTAATACAGCTGTTATTATTAATACTAGTGCAGGATGAAGAAGAAAAGAGGGGTGAGAACTGTAGGAAATATCCAAATAATTTTCTAGGATGGTATCTCTGATAAAGCAGATTTTATTCGGAGTTGCAATGGCAGGCCTCCTGCAAGCAGGAGAGCACACAGAAAACAGAGTTAGCTCTTCTATTCCCTATTCCCCAACGCTTATCTCCTTCTCCCCTAGTTCCTCATTGGCTGAGTACTTTAGGTTCACAATCTTCTCGACACTTCACTAAACATGGAAACACTGGACAAACATACATTTTTGCTGTATAAGCATAAATCTGTAGTTAATTCATTAACTTATTCCACAGCTGACCATTATTTTGCGGGTATCTGCTTGTCCTTCTTTCTAAAAAATAAGCTGGGGAGAAAGACAGGGGAGTATCCTGGTGCCTGCCTGTCACATCCCAACCTTCTCACAGAGACAGTTCGGTTCTTGTATAGAGGCCCTAACTTCTTTGATGTTTGCTAAATCTGGTTTTCTTTTGCTGGGAGTTTCTTATCCTAACAAAACAACTCTATGATATGTTTCCTAATCCCTAACATACTATACTCACATTGTTTGGAACATTTAACAACTATTACAGTTTTGCAAGAAAGAATTAATCACATAATTCAGTAATAATGTTTTTAAAACATTAACATATATAGTATTTTACTTCTTAGATCAACTGTTTCTAAGGACAAGTTACAGAATGCAAATGCATTATGTTCTACTTCTTCAAACCAATTGCTCTTTTTAATATCAAATGCAGAAACAACATTCCATTCCCACAGAACTCTCCAGCAGAGTCTGAAAAATGGGACTGTGGAGGACTAACCTATCAACCGCTGTCACAAAGCTTTTGTCACAGCCTTCTGCTTGTGACCTCACAGCATTGCCAAAATGTGAACTGCAGCCTCTGTCTCAGCTTGCAGCAATGCTAGGACTGGGAGAAAATGCCTGAACAAAGCCAGATTTTGTTAATCATCCTTCAAAGTTATCATCTAAGGAAACATCAGATCTTTAGTTTGCATTTAGACCCCCCTGCTCCCAAGTTTACCTTGATCGTTCCATGTACTGAGTTCTTAGGCTTATTATTTATGTTTTAGTTTTGTAGGACAACACTTCTCCCAAATAATTGGTGTAGGGAGAATTGGAAGATGGTTGTTACAAAATATTTTCAAATCTTTGTAGATCTATTTTGATGTCACCTGACAATTTCTCCTTACTTATTCACAGCATAAAATTTGAAAAAAAAAATGTTTTAGACATCTTCAGTACAAAAAAGCTCTATTATGTAAAACATAGGCATGAAATTCAGCAACCTCCAAATCTTTCCTCAGTCACGATCAGATCAAAACAGTTTCTCTGGTGATCCCATTGTTTGCAGAGGCAACTGACAGATTTTAATCCATACACAGAAGGATAAATAAGGAAGTCTTATTTTTTTTACAAAAGCCCAATCAGAAATTCTCCAGCAGTACTGAACAGCTTAATTTTCATGACACAGTGCTTAAGCAGAGCTCCAGGAGCCGTGTTTTCCAGGAGGTACAACACTGCTTGCTCAATCAGATTGTGTACACAAGAAAACCCAGTGGAATCTGACAATGCCTCCAGTGCAAACAAAAGACATTCATATAACTCAGTGGCTTACATAACAGCTCTCTGTTGGATTGAATTGCAAGTGAATGAGTGATTCCACAAATATGAATTCAGTGCTAGTGTTTGAAGCCACAAAATTCCCTGAGTTTAGACTGTTTCAAAAATCCCAGCATGTTTGTGACTTGACCAGCAAGTAGCAGCCCTAATCTGTGAGGCTGTGTGAGATTTCAGGCAGTTTGGGACAGAAAGCACAACCCTCTTCTTCCAGGCTTTCTATAAATACATTTTTTTTTAAGGTTAAATTAACATTGTCCCTTAAGTGGCACAGCCTGGAAATGTGTACTGTGCTCCATACACTTTGATGCACAAGTCTTGGCATCCAGCAAGCATGTCAGACACAATTGTCCACCTCTCCAAAATCTTCCCCATGTTTAATGAGTGACTAGATTCCCACTAGAACCTACAAGTCAGTCTACCATACAGCACTTGAAGTCTCAGCAGAAACAAACAAACGAACCTGCAGCATATAGACGCAACTTCTCCAAAATCTGGTCAGCACTACTGCACTGCTAAGATAACCAAGCCATTTTTACTCGTCTTTATTTTGCAGAGTTGGGATCCAGACTTGGCAAAGACTGCAAGAGGTTGGGCGAAGAGATGCGAGTTCAAACATAACATATACCTCCAAGAGCCAGGGCAGGCTCACCCCAAATTTAACCCTGTTGGAGAAAATCTCTGGACTGGTTCGCTTTCAATTTTTTCGGTGCAAGGAGCCATCACCTCTTGGTACAAAGAGGTCAGAGACTACACGTTTTCCAGCAATAGCTGTAGCAGAGTATGTGGCCATTACACACAGGTAAGGCATCACACTTCTCTAACTCTGTCAAGTTTAGTTGTACTCAGTACTGCTGAGGTGCACCTCGAGTACTGTGTCTTGGGCCTCTCACTGCAAGAAATATATCAAGGCTGTGGAGCCTGGTGTCCAGAGAAGGGCAACAAAGTTGGTAAGGGATCTGGTGCACAGGTCTCATGCAGAATGGCTGAGGGAACTGAGGTGATTTAGTCTGGAGAAGAGGAGGCTTGGGGGAGACATTATTGCTCTAACTGCCTGAAAGGAGGTTGTGGTGAGGTGGGGTTGGCCTCTTCTGCCAGCTAGTAGTGACAGAGCAAGAGGTCATGGTCTTAAGCTGATCAAGGGAAGCTCAGATTGGATATTAGGAAGAATTTCTTCCCAGAAAGAGTGGTAAGGTATTAGAATAGGCTACCCGAGGAAGTGGTAGAGTCATCACCATGTCTGGAAATTTTCAAGAAACATGGAGATGCAGCACCTGGGGACATGGTTTAGTGTATGTTGCGGTGATAAGCGGGTGGCTAGACTAGATGACCTTAGAGATCCTTTCCAACCTTAATTGGTCTATGATTCTATGATTTTATAAACTAGACAAAGAAATTCTAGATTTCTGTTGAAGAGTCAGTGAAGTGAATTCAAAGTGCTGTAGTAATTTTTTTGTGCCTGTGTGCATGAGATGTTCTCATGTCACATTTTAGAGAATAAGAATTTCACTGCATTTTCTTTTTAATACCCCAGCTGTATTTTGTTTCTAGGAAGAAAACAGGACAGCGATCAAACGACCAAGTTTAGCCCAGCAATGGCCAAAAACCAGGCAGTAGCAGTGGCTGTGGGCTGCAGTGCATGGTGGGACAAAGCCCCCACTCTGCCAGGTAGCTTCCACACGGCACCATGAGCTATACAAGGGCTAGTTCTGTGATTCCGTGTTTGATTTGGCTCCTGCTGTTTCCCCATCACCATCCTCAGGGATGCGGTTGTCCACCGCTGGTGTCATGGGAAGCCTCTGGTTGTTACTGTGCTGAGAACACAGGAGCCTGAGGAACATGTCCTGTTCATGGACCTAGCAAACAACAAGGGGCAGGCTTCCCTTTGGAAGGGGAGATAGGGTATGTGGTGCTGAGTTGAATTGGATAGCTCATGCTACACGGGGAATCATAAGAAGATCTGATGCTCTTGTCTCTGTTATGTCAATCATTATCATGATCATAGAAGGCAAGACTGCAACCTGGATATGCTCCTTCGCCCTGTTGTTCCTATAGCCCCCTGCCTTTTGGTTATTTGCCTATGCAGTAAACTCTTGTAGAAGACAGCAAACAGCCTGGTCTTGAATGCCTCCAGGGAGGGGCATCCACAGCAACTGGATCCTGTTCCACATCACTGGGCAACCTGTTCCAGTGTCTCACCACCCTCACTGTAAATAATTTCTTCCTGATATCTAGTCTAAATCTACCCTCTTCCAGTTTAAAACCATTTTCCCTCACCCTTTCTATATGCCTTTCTAAGAAGTCCCTTCCCAGTTTTCCTTTAGGCCTCCTATGGGTACTGGAAAGCTACTATAAGGTCCCCCAGAGTCTTCTCTATGCTGAAGATCCCCAGCTCTCTCAGCCTGTCCTCATAGGGGAGGTGCTCCAGTCCTCTGGTCATCAAATAAATTAATAAACATCTAGTGAATTAGTTAAAACAACCAGATGTTCTTCAGAACGAGCTATTATTTAGATATCCATCACTATTGCTTGCCACTGCAAATCATGTCCAAGGAGCACTCCAAAGCCCATGTAATATAGAGGAGAGCAAAGCTTTTCCCTAAAACTGTAGCTGTTAAACCAAATATTCAGCCACCAATGTTTGTGTCTGTCTTTCCAGGTCGTTTGGGCTCAAAGCTACAAGGTTGGCTGTGCTGTCCACTTCTGTCCCACAGTGTTATACTTCTCAGGAACCAACGCAGCACACTTCGTCTGCAACTATGGGCCAGCGTAAGGTTTCCATGATAGATATTTTAAAGAATTTGGATCCTGCCTCTTCTTCCCTCCCAAAATATGTAATTTGATAGGATCAGATCATTTTTTCCTGTGTTTATGGGTAGAAATGATCCTCAAAAAAGATAAAGATACATCCAAGCAACTCTAGTTTGAGTAAGTGGGAGATGTATATATTGTAGCTAAAAAGCAGTGGTGCTGATAGAAAGGGTAAAATATAAGACACTGAAATAAGCATACCTAAGTGATCATTTGAAAGCTGTTCCCTTTTTCCTCAGTGCTGAGGTGGCCCCAGATGGTTGCCAAGGCGCAAACCCAAGGTTTGTCTGCAGAATCAAGTCTCTTGGTCAATGGTTTGAGTAAATACTGAAGTGTGCAGTGCTTGTGGCTGCAGGCTGAGCGTTAGTATGAGAGTTTGGACATGTGATGCTGGGCCTGCTGAAGACAAAATTTTATTGAGAGATCCTTCGTATGCATTGTAAGTAGCATATTTGCTGCCTGAGAGACACAGAGGCTCTGAAGGACCTGCTGAACCTTGGTCCCAGCTTATGAGGGCAGGATGCTTTCTTGGTCCTGGTTGAGGCCCTGATCTGCTCAGCCTTTGAGGTCACAGGGAGGATAGAGTACAAAGCCCTTACTGTGGGTGTTTACTGCCTGCCAAAATCTTCATGGAGCAGCCTGGGCACCTCCTGGGCTAGGTGGGAGCAGGACAGTAAGGCAGGGCTGACCAGGACACAGTTCAATGTCAATACAAGTGAAGAAAATCTCAAGTTCAGAAGCAAATTAGCAGAAGGGATTGCCATCCCCTCATAAGGGCAGCTTCAAAGCAATGTTATTTTCCTTCACAGTGGGAATTACAGACGGCACCCATATGAGACAGGAGCAGCGTGCAGCAAATGCAATGGCGAGCAGTGCACTGACAATCTGTGTCGTAAGTAGACAACCCACCCTCCTCCACAAGCACATGTAAAAAGAGAGGGAGCACACAAGAAGACACTGGCAGGAAGCACAGCATCTCCTATTCCCAAATACTGTCTGAAAAAATGCAATGAGGAGCCAAGAGAGCAGTGATGCCTAAGGATAGAAAAGGTTTTAAAATACCAGCATCAAGGAATGACGGGATCCCTGGCTGATGGGGTTGCTTGATGTCAGCTAGACAAGTGGATCTTGAATATGAGAGCTGGGCAAAAAAAAAGTGATGAAGTGTACCTGAGGGATAATTCCTCTCCATGCCAGCCACTGGCAGGGGCACTTAGTAAGATGCAATCGAGCTCTCTACAGCAAAGCCCCAAAATCACTCTCTGGAAGTCTATAGGTCCTTGGTTCTTCCTGGAAAGAAACACAACTGTATTTCTTGTCAGCCCACTGTGAGCGAATTCTCCTCTTTTATAACTCACATTGTTTACAAATTCTAAGCCTGCTGCTTACATTCGCTTCTTCTTCTCTCTCCAGGAAACACTGAGCGTGACAAAGTCATTAGTAAGTACCACAGATACTACTGCCTCCAGTAGTTGTTGCCCCCAGTGCAGTTACACTTGAAATAATTGATCTGTTTTGCCTCCAGGTGATTCCAAGTGGCACCCAGCTTGGGACAGACCTGCCTGCGATGAGTACTGCATCTCTGTGGTTGTTTTAAGGCTGTTACTTCTTATTCTGACTATTGTAGCCACTTGGATCCTTCCCAAATACTGGTCCATAGCACCTGCCACGAAGTAACGCACAGGAGGCTGTGGCAGCACTGAGGTTGATTCGTCCCCTCCCTGTGCTTAAGCTACTGGCAGCACTGAGATGGATGGAAATGTTGTTTGCATCCACAGATCATTCTGAAATATAGAAATATCATCCCCACTTCATGGAGGAGCTGGCAGAGCTGATAAGTGGCCTTCTCATTGTTCAGAATCAGTAGCTGGTTTTAAATTACCTGCTTATTTTTCCAAAGTGGAGCACTGTGGCAGAGATGGGTATGCCATGGAACAGCTTGCCACGCTTCTCAGGGAGGGAGTGGGGTGTCTGCAGCCCAGCAGAGCAGACTCCTCTATGCCTTTTGAGCTCTCTCCACACGTACTCCTCCAGCAAGACGCAACAGCATGGTTTTGGGTAGCCTGGAGAGATTTCTTTTTGTCATTTATAGCTGTTTTTTACCTCCTAATTTTTGGGCACAGGTGAGTTCCAGCATGTGCGTCCCACAGCAGGCAGTGCATTTCCCCGTATCACAGTGCACAGGGACCACTGGCGTTTCTCTTTGCTTAGAATCTGTTTTCAAACACACATCATCTCTGCCAAGACACAGAGCTTCACCCGTGTTTAAATGTGACTTTGCACCACCTTAAACTCCCTTTTTTTTTTTTTTTTTCTTTTTCTGAGCATGAGGTTTTTGACTTCTGCTTCAAACAATAAACCACTATTTCCTGCCTCCCGTGCATGGTGATCATGTATCTGCAACCTGATCTGAAGGTCCACTGGTGCACAGACCCAGAACAAATACATTCAGTTCCAGCCTGCACAATGCTGAGAAACACGATGCTGGGAAAAACACAGTACAGTGGTCTAAATAAAATTGTGCTGTGCCCAACGTTGTGTCTTGGGCTCAGTGGCTGCCAAGCTCCAGTCTCCATGAGGCTGTGCCCCCAGAGCTGGCAGGGTTCAGCCAGGCCCCTTCGATACATCACACCATTCTGCTGGGTGCTTCTATGCAGGAAGCCAGGGAGTTCCCCAGCTGCTTCCTTTCTGTAGTGCTGTCTTTGCTCACTTCTGTCAGTGTTGCTGCACAAGTCCTGCTCTGATGCCACTGCTGGAGTCAGTCTCACCTGGAAGTACTGCCAACTGCAACCCAAAGTTTCTGATGTTATTCTTCCATACAGTTAGCTGCTAGTACTTGAATCATATCAGCATCACACCATGTCCCAAATAAATCATTTTCCAAAATGTAAATGTGGTCAGGGACAGAATTCCTAATCCTCTTCCTTGTCCTTCACTTATATTTGCACTTCGTTTGTGCCAGAGCCTCTTTTCTGCCATCCAATGACCAGTATCACAGCACTCGTGCTGGCCAACATAGAAAGAGACAATTTTATTAAAAAAAATAAATAAAATCCTCACTACAAATTTAAGGCCACGGGTCTATCTGTTGAAAAGGGCAGCCACTTTCATTCCCACTTGCCTTTTTGCCACACTCTTTTGAGCACCACTCAAGCCTCACACTTCCTGTACTGCAAAGTCCCATCTGGAAATCCCACAAGGACGACAACCAGCACATATTGGCAGCAGGACGTACTCTGCAGTGTCCTTTTGCAGAGAAGGGCTCTTATGCCAGCATCTGCCCCATGTGCAGAAAAATCCTACTGATGCAAGGAGAAATGGAGGAAAGCAAAGCACATACAATGCTGTGTCCAGGCAGCAAAATGAGCTCAGCAGGAATGCTCCCCTGCTAAGTTTAATCTATACTTGGTTTCCAGGAGAGTAAACAGAACCAACACAGAGCCCTTAAAGTTCAAAACATTCACAGTGCTGCCATTGAACTACATACCTTAGCAGCTCGAAGGGAATTCCATAGAGAAAGCTTCATTAAAAAAAACTGTAAATCACTGGGGCTCATGGGGAAAAAAACAACCAACCAACCAACAACAAATTCTACAGCATGGTAACTTTCAAACAAAAAATCCAGAAAGTCAAGGAGTCAAAGCTAAGCAAGAGCTGCATCTCATTTTTTAAGGACACCCAAAATCCAGATATTTAACTCCTGATGATTTCCTCAAGTTGTTCACATTCTTTTTTTATGGCATACATCCATGACTTCCACATGATAAATGCAAAATACAGATATAGGAACAGCCATTGAGCACTTCTTTGCTAGCCTGTAAACTCTAAAATCAGTTTAAGGAGATAATTTGCAAAAATTCAAGCTAGTCCTCAAAATACTAAAACAACTACTTTGCCCTTCTGAACTTATTTTTCTGTTCTGTTTTTTTGCAGACACATTAGAACAGGTGCAGAAAGCACTGTAGTGAGCCCAATGCAGAAGGTTACCACTAAAAAGCAGATTCTAAGCTCACAAATCCTTGGTTTGTTTTCCTTACATGAATGAAGGGTCTTTCTAGATTTTCCTGTTTTAATAAATAGAAGTCTAACCAACAATCCTTGAAACCCAGCAGCCATAACAACCAAAAAAGATTAAACATAACCCTTTCATCTCGTGACAACAGGACAAGACTCCTTGAAATCAAGTAAGTTCTACTGTGGTTGGGACTTTGATGCCAGATCTACATAGAAACCTCAGCTGGGGAACCAAAATTCAAAACACACGTTTCCATGAAAGCACATATATGCATTTTAAGGTCAGGCTGCCACCAAGCTAACGTACATTTTCCTGCACTGCAACTCAGGCAACCATGCAGCTGGTTGACCCAGCTGGAAAACAGTCACTTAATTAGCAGGGAGCTTTTAGCCAAACCAGGTTCATGAAATAAAAGGCCAACCTACAAAGTCAAAAGCCCTTTGCATCATGGAAGAAGATATAAACTTAATTTTAGCAAACAAAAATTTGCTGCAAGGACCTTCTGCAGTAAAAGGGGCCTCATCCAGTCCAAAATATAACAGAGGACTCTCCGTCCTTGTACCTCCCCTGAATCCAGCTCAGCTCCTCCTTACTGGCTTTGGGCTCCGCAGATTACTCCACTGAAGTACTCACTTGTGGGATCACATGAGAACTACTGCAATGCCTCTCAGGGTAGCCCAGACCCTCAATATGTCTGACCCACTTGATGCTGAGCTCAGGTCTCCCCTTTACACAATCAACAGCTACATATCAGGTAACATGCCTAAGAGCTTATCATAGGGCTGGTATCCCTAAACATACCAGCTTACTACAGCTTCTCAGATGGGTGTGTAATTTACTTATTTTCTCAGTGAAGCATCTGTTGAGCAGTACTTTCTTACATGATTTTATAAGTAATTAAACTGACATTTATGAATGATAGAGTATTGAGTTTTCTCTTCCAGAACTAAGTTGCAAGAAAAGATCAGGCAACAGAAAGGAGTACTAATATTGTCCCCTACCCTAAAATGCAAGAATTCTAGATCACTTTCTCCATGCACATACACATACTGACTCTTTAACATACATTCTAAATTTTTATTTAAACATGTAACAAAGAAAACAGCTGTGTTTTCACTGACCAGTCTGAAATAAAAGGTTACTAACCTCAGCAAAGTGAGCTGCAGTGTTCTAGCATAATCATCTTTACCACATGTGCAAGTGATCAGAATTCCAAAGTCTGGCAAAGCACTCAAACACGGTCATGAAACTGGTGTGGCCTGACCACCTACTTACTGTTACATTTGCTTCTTGAACCTCAGATGCATCAACTAAGTAACATCTGCTTTTCTAGTGCACTCTATTTCATCATAATTTCCATTTTTAGGAAACTAAGAACCTCTGTACTTCCTTCAAAAAAGGGGAAGGGGCTGAATAAAGTTAAAAGGAACTTAAGTTCTCATTTCTTGTAAGAAATGAATTAAGAACACATTTAAAGAAAGGTAACAACATTTATGTTTTCCCTGCAGCACACTTGCTTTGTGTCACATTCTGCCTAACAAGATAATGCTAATAAATGACAATTTATTAATGGCATTCAATTAAGATTATGGTTGTCTAATCCTCACACAAAGCAGTATTCCTGGAAGCAAGATCAAAAGATGTAGGTTTTGCAGTAGATGACTAATTAAAGGATTTAACGACAATATATTAAAATAGTTTATTAACACCAAAACAAGACACTCAAAAAACCCAGCTTGTACAGAAGTAAAAGCTTAATAAAAGTAATAAATCTTGCCTATCTTGACAGTTATTTGGTAGCTTTTCATAGAAGTACTCCATTTAACTCCCACTGAGTTCTTCAATCCTTACTGTTTCACATTCTGTATTAAACTCCTGAATGTTTCTAATATGAAACTTCCTTCAGGCAGACAGATATTACCCAAACACACTCTCACTTTCTCAAAAAATATGAGAGAGCAGATTTTGTACACCAACTTTGACAATTTTGCATAGCTGCTCTAGGTCCATTCATTAAAATGGGCTTGTGAAAAGAGAACAATCTTTCTGCCTAGTGTTTTCTTATCCACACTACACTGACAGCAAGAAGTGGTTTACTCCACATCTCAGTTGTTCTAAGTGTGAAAATGTTCATTATTGTAGGAGAAAAGTGAGCATTATGAGTGGTGAATTACTTTCTTTTTTTCTTCTTTTCATCTGCTGCCATTTTTAACTTGACTTCTTCCATAGGAAGTGCTCCTAATTTCTTCTTCTTCGCATTCTTTACTTTTTCCTTGATGGCTTCAATATCAATTTTTTTCTCAGTGGAGGCTACACAGCAAAAACACAAGCAGACACAAGTTTTACTTTTCTGATTTTTCACAGCCTGTGAGATTACTTCCTATGTATCCACAGTAAACTGCATGCTGTAGCATTGGTTAGGACTAATCTTATGTTTGCTAACAATTTTATAAACTATTCTTACCATTTTTACTGAAACTAGCATGATACACAAACCTCTTTCAACAGAATTCAAGGAATAGTTACATAAAAAAATCCTATACAACTGTATTTGAAAACTGATGCCCTACTACAATGCACACTTAGAAATTGTCACCTGCTTATCAGACCACAGATGTACTCCAAGATTAATACATACATAATCTGCTGTGTCTATTGGCTTGGTTGGTCTGACATAAAAAGAATAAACTATTTATTGAGTACTTATTTTCAGAGCTTTTGTGGCATTTTATATATACGCATGTAACTAGGGTGATGAGTTCACAGACATGCCTGTACCATCCTTATTTTCCTTCCCTGCCATGCCTTAATGATGGCTGCTGGAAAGTCTGATCCCTGCATGAAGACCTTTGTAAGAGACTTCTACAGGAAGTGACAGCATGAAGAATATCCTATTTGGTGTTCATAAAACATTCTATGAACATGCTTTATAAGGGCATGTAGCAACAGAATGAGGGGAAGTGGTTTTAAACTGGAAGAGGGTAGACTTAGGCTAGATATCAGGAAGAAATTATTTACAGTGAGGGTGGTGAGACACTGGAACAGGTCGCCCAGTGAAGCTGTGAATGCCCCTCCCTGCAAGCATTCAAGGCCAGGTTGGATGGGGCTGTGAGCAACCTGGTCTGGTGGTTGGCGACCCTGCACATAGCAGGGGGATTGGAACTAGATGATTACTGTGGTCCTTTTCAACCCAGGCCATTCTATGATTCTATGATTCATCTGGTATCTTCCCTTTTGGCCAAGAGTCACGAGCTTAGGTCCAACTCTGCCACCTCACATGGTTAATTCCTACACACCATCAGGCGTCCTTGTTGGAACTCAGTTCTTCTCTACATATGAAGTATTTCTATTATTTACTTCTGGAAGACTGAATGGTTTCATTCAAAACACTTATCAGCTGGAAGAGGACAGTATTTGATATACAGAAGAGGCAGTGCATGATTACAGAAAATTTACTGCTATCACAAAAAAGTACTTTATACAAATCAGTGCTCCAGACTATACATTGCTTGAGAAGTAAACAAATTCTTCAGCTCACAAGAAACTGTAATATAGAGTGTATAATTATTATGTAAGTAGCATGACCTTCCTTATTTCCTATGGCTACATCTCCACATAATCACTTAGCCTACGAATTAACACTACAAGTGTTTAGAACAAGGAAAAAACACTTTACCTTTCTTTGCTTTCACAACTGGCTTTTCCTTTGGTGGGATAAAAGCTTTATTTCTTTCCTCTTGTCTCTTCTTGACTGCATCAGCTTGCTTTGCCTAAAGTTAACAACAACAAGTATGAAGTACCAACAGAGCAGGGCAAAAGGGAGAAAAATCAAAGTCAGAAATCAAGCCCTTTTTAACTGGTTGTAACAAATTTACCTTTATTTCTTCCACTCGCTTTCGTTTCTTCTGGCTTTCTTTCAAGAAGTATTCACCACTTGCCAATTCTTTATCAATCTGTACAAGAAAAGTACCAAGAAGCTTTAGAAAACTATATATTATAAGTCAGATATAATAATGTCAGGAAATAAAAACTTGACAAAAAAGACCCATTAACTTCATCTTAACAAGAGCAGGATTTAAATTAATCATATATTCCTGCATAACCAAATAAAGTTTCAGCTGACCTGGCTTTCTGGCTGCGGAGGTGGGAATGGTGTGTACTCCTTCTTAATATTTTTCTTCTTTGGCTCCTTGCGTTTTTTCAAGTTCTTCCGCTTGAACTTAGGCAAAAATCTTTCCCAATTTTGTGTCCTCAGTTCAGGATCTTTTGATAATTCACGTTTGATCATCAAAGTCTTTGGTAGTTTTAGAACATCACAAAGAAGAACAGAACAATAGTATTGCAGTAGTACCTAAGAGCTCCAAACTAAAAGTTTCTTATGGTATATTAACAGTTGAGGGATTTAATTATGAACAGAAGCAGAAAGGTGAATGTGTCTCAGGATGGGGACAGTTTAAATAAGCAGGTATCAAGCAAACAATCAAAGGGAAGAAAACACTTCTCTTACGATATTTGCTCAGATGCTGTCAATGATATGACAACATATCCCCAGCAAGTAGACTATTTTTTTTTTTTTTTTTTAAGTACAAAACAGAAATTCTCATTAACAGTTTACCACATCGAAACATATAATTATTAACATAAAGCTCTGTACAAAGACATAATGCTTTCAGAGGTGCACGTTGGACCGTACCAACCTTAATGTTATATATGGGATGTATATTCTTCATTGTATCCAGAACAACTTTCCTAACCTGTATTTAATAAAAGAAAATGAATGGAACACTCAGCAGGTACTTCACATTCTAACCAATTAAAATATCAAGTATCCTAAGTTTCTTCAAAATCAGAAAATTTCTCTTTCCTAGCTGCACAACAAAACCAAAAGCAGCTAGACTGAAAAAGCCACAAAGCCAACTAGACAAACGGTGCTTAAAAAATTATCATTGGCTCTACTGTCACACCTCTGATACACTCCAGCATCACCTGTAATCACTATTTTCACACCACCATGGACATTATGTATTTTTCCCTACAGAATTATTAAAAATATATGAGATGTTCACCCATGCTATATGCCATTAACACTGCAATATTTTCACTTAAGTCTCTTAACTGAAACTATAGCAATTCTGCACAGCAATCTACAGAAAAAAAAAGCTGAATAATACATTATTCAGAATTATATGAAGGCACCCTTTTTATACATCTGCTAAACCTTACCTTAAGAAACAAAAAATACTTTTTCAGCAACTAACAAAATTCAGGAGCTAAGACTATAGGCATTCACATAGAAGTAGTTTACTAACACGTAGCTGAAAGAACAACTCTTGAGGCCATCAGATTGTGCCTGAAGTCCATGTCAGAGCTGGGCACAAAAGTGGGCTACAGAAACCACTCATCTGCCTTCTCTTACCTCTTTTAGCCCACTGAAAGGTCCAAGAGCTGAAACAGTGTTGCCTTGCACCATAATATAACAGTTGGTTAACAGTTCAAGGGCCTAGAACAACAAATATGAATAAAGTCAGTGTGAGCTCAAGGTCTGAAACAAATCTGCATCTAAGATTTTTATGGTAACCATACTTATCAGAAATACCTTCAGAGTAGATCCTTTTGGCCCAAGAAGCCGTCCTCTTCTTTTCACAAAACTTTCTCTGTTCCTCACTAGAGAGCCTATTTTAATGATGTCACACGCAACATCATCCTGAAGAATACGAACTGCCTGAAGATACAAGGAGCAGGTATTAACATCAGAATCCAAAAGTGTTATTCAGAAGACCCAAAAGACTCATTTCATTTGCTGATATGTTTATTTTAAATATATATTTTCATGTAGTTATAAAATCATTTGAGTTGAAGGGATCTTTAAAGGTCAGCTAGTCCAATTCCCCTGCAACAAACAGAGACACCTACAGGTAGGTCAAGTTGCTCACAGCCCCATCCAGCCTGACCTTAAGTACCACCTGGGATGGGGCATCCACCAGCTCTCTGGGCAACCTGTTTCAGTGCTTCACTACCGCTACCTGAAAAACCCATATTTTAAAAACATACTACTTTATAAGCATTACAATATTATTTGCTACAAACCTGTTCGAAGGGAACACTTCTTGCTAGAAGCTTTATTAAATCTCTAGCCCTGATGATCGCATATGGATCAAAAGTCTTCTTGGTAGTAGTGACTGTCATGCTTCCTTCAATTAGATCCAGCGTTGCATTCACGTACTGCAATGTGTGAAAATAAACAGCAAAGCAATCTCATTAAAATAAGAATCTAAGATTATATTTCTGATAGCATAAAGTTAAGAAATATAAAACTACACACTGCACAGGCATGCAAATCCATTATCCAAACCTCTGAAAATGACTCTCAGACACATACACACACACAAAAAAAAAAGCCACCAGATTGACAGGCTCTATGTATCACAAGGCCTGAAACACTATCCCCCTATCTCCTTTACGGCTGGCAGACACTGGACAACACCTGCTACTATAGCAAGCTTTTTAAAAGTAACACCTTTATCTCCCAAACAACAGAGCACAGCATCACAACTCATACATGCTCACTCAGGGCTTTCTGGACAAGCGGCCAGCACTCCTTCAGGTAGGCTTCTCTGTACTTGGGGAATAATGTTGCAAAACTGCTTTCTTCCAGCAGCCCTCTGGGATTGTCTTCCCTGGTAAACGCTGGTTCTTTCCATCCATCCGGCACAGTGAGCAGCTCAGACTCATCAACTGCTAGAGATTAAAAGACGAAAGAAAGTTTGTTTCTCCTTTGTCATCGATGGCGGCGATAACTGAAAGCAGGCACACAGCAGGCGGTGCATTCAATACTCCGTAGGAGGCGTTCTGCATTTCTCCTTACGGAAGTTACTGCCTTTCCAGCCCGCGGCCGGGCCCCTCAGCCCCTTAGCGAGCGAGAGGGAAAGCACGGCGGGGCAGCAGGCCCCAAACCCCGCCGCCAAGAGGCCGCGCAGCCCGCGGACAGCTCCCGCACAGCCCCGCACTCACCTTTGGCCGCTTTCTTCTTGCCGGGACGCCGCGCCTTTTCCTCCGCCGCTTCAGGAGCCGCCATGCTCACCGCGCGCACACAACTTCCGCCCGACGCCGGAAGTGAGACAGGGGCCGCGCGGCACGCCGGGAACTGGAGTCCCGCGCTGTACGCCGCTGTAGTCGAGCTCCGGGGCAGCACAGCGCGCTGGGTCCGGTCGTATCTCCACTCAGGCAGCAGCTGCGGGGTCCTGGAGATGGGCTTGGTTGAGGGGCGTGCAGCAAGCACCTTCTTTCCTCTTTCATATCACACATCGCTCCCATCCGTGCTCCTCAGCGCTGAATTTGCTGCTGGCGTTTTGCAGCAAAAAGGGAAAAAGAAAATCCAGCATCATCAAAATCAAACCAAAGCACTCGGGTAAATGCTTGAAGTACTTTAGTACTTGCAACTAAAAAGAACACGTGTTCCTGATGAGACCTAATTATTTGGTTGAATGCCATAGCTTAATGCCTCCTGGGTGATGCTCTGCCTCCTCCCCACTCCCCATCCTGCACTTGTACCTCAGTATTTTCTTCAGGATGAAAGCAAGCTTGTGCCGCCTTTGCTGCTTTCTTGGGCATCTGGAGAAGCTGGAAGAGACATTTGAGCAGGGCAGTGTCCCTGCAAATGTTCATCCGACCTGCTCACTGTGAGGTGTTTAATTATTGTCACAATCATGGAATCATAGAGTGCCTTAAGTTGAAAGTGACCTTAAAGATCGATTCCAACCCCTCCCCCATGGGCAGGGCTGCCCCCCACCAGCTCAGGTTGCCCAAGGCCCCATCCAACCTGGCCTTGAACACCTACAGGGATGAGGCACCCACAGGCTCTCTCTGTGCAGCCTGTCCCAGTGTCTCACTGCCTGCTGAGTAAAAATTCTTTGTAATATCCACCTTAAATTTCTCCTCTTTTAGTTTAAAGCCATTCTCTTTTTCCTATCACTATCAAACTGTAAAAATTTGGTCCCCCTTCAGCTTTTAAGTTCCCTTCAAGTACTGGAAGTCTGCAATGAGGTATCCCTAGAGAATCCCTTCAGAATGAATAAGTCCAACTCCCACAACATTTCTTCATAAGAGGCTGCAGCCCTTTGATCATCTTCGTGGCCCTCCTCTGGACCCTCTCCAACAGCTATTCCTATTATCCACTCTACACATAAATAAAACATTCAAAACTCAGTTTTGACACCCGAAGACCTTTCATTGGGCCGCACTGCTGCTTTTACCCGCTGGGTGGCACTGACTGCCGCGACAAAAGGAGCAGCCCCAGCGAGCCTCCGTGCCCGAGGAGCAGCAGATCCCCGAGCTGCTCTGGCAATGAGCACGGACAGACCGCGGCTCAGAAGTTTCTGGTGAGAGGCACCTGGATCTTCTCCAAATTGCAGGCACGCTCCAGGGACGTCTGTCTCCAAGGAAATGGGAACAGAGCATCCCTGTTGCTCGCTGGCTGAAAATATAAAACAATGGAGTAATTGAGGTTGGAAAAGCACTAAGATCATCAAGTTCATCTGTCAAAACTCTGCACCCCAATGGGGTCACCCACAAGGCCACCCAAACAACAGCCCAGGCAGCAGCCAGCCCCCAGCTCTTCCATCAGTCAGGAGCCTGACAGTGTAATTCGTATCTGGGGAACCTGGAACAATTACAAATCCAACTCAAATGATATTTATTTTTCAAGATTTCACCCTTAGCGCTATTGTTCTGCTTTAATTACGCCATAATTAATTGCAACTAAACTTTGGAAAGTGCATTTGTGCATGGCAGAAAGGCTCTGATATTGCAACCTGCTTACCTACAACGACAAACACTAAACAGGAAATTTACAATCCTGAGTTGATAGAGCATTTGGTGTTCAGTACACTGCCTTCATAGAATCACAGAACCAGAGAATCATGAAGGTTGGAAAAGATCTCCAAGACCATCAGGCCCAACTGTAGACCCAACACCACCATGCCCACTCATGGAATTGTAGAAACATGAAGGTTGGAAAAGGTCACTAATATCACCCAGTCCAACCATCAACCCATCCCCACTATGCCCACTGTTTCCATTTTCATCCAGAGGGTCTCCAACTCCTTTCAAAACCAGACCAAGACCCGTGAACGTGACTACTGAGCTATTTTGCACAGAGGAATACTAAGGTGCAGAGGAACTAATCTCCTTATTTTATCTCCAGGAGGGGATCAGCCCACATGCAATATGAGGATGAAAGAATATCATGCTACAGGGAAGAAAATCTAGCCTCAAATTAAGAGACAACACCAGCAGTTGTGCTATCAGACTTGGAAGCTGTGACTCAGGAAGGCCCCTCATATCCCATCCTGCCTGGCTCTCTGCTGGAGGCAGTGACTTCTCAGCTTTCCTCTTACCTCAAATTTTGCAGAGGAGTTGAATACAAGAAACCGCCTCCCTAATTCCTGTCACAGACCAGGTGCTCCCATAGACTCCTCTCCTGCTCCAGTCAGCCCACTTGGGCTCAGACAATGACAGATTTATATCACTTTTGTCAGACACTGCTCAGACGCAATGGCCAGCCCCAGCATGTCTGGCAGTGGCAGGCTGGGAGGTGGGGACAGCTGTCTGGGGCCAGGGACAGCCGAGGGGACAGGGAGATGGAGGTTGCTGCAGGGAGTTCCAGCAGTGCTGTACCAGACTGTGATGGGGCGTGACATTTTCTTAAAGCAGTTCTCACAGAATCACAGAATTGTAGGGGTTGGATCATACCTCTGGAGATCATTGAGTCCAAGGCCCTGCTGAAGCAGTTTCCCTACAGTAAGCAACATGTATCGCATTCCCTTTGTGTGATCAGAGATCTGGGTGCAGAAGGCTCCTTTGAAGTCTTTTGCCTGAATAACACAGATACCAGCCTAGAAAGAGCCCTACATCTGCTGAGCTGGTTGCTGGGCTCTGGAGGAAGCTAGGCCAGTTGTGTGTGTGTCTATGTGTGCTCACTGCTTTCCTGTTAGAAGCGAAGCAGACAATGAAACAGCACAGCCACACAGCCTCCCCTGAATGCACTTCAGGCTGTAAGATAAAATAGGCAGAGTGCTGCTGTTAGGCTGAAGGTGCCTCTATTATGCAGCAAAGTAATTATTTCCCAGTCAGTAGATAGGACTCAAGCCACTTGGCACTTTCTTATGTGCCATTTTCAAATCCAAAAGAGCAACTTGGGATTTTGTGATAATTCAAGCAATCAGATGAGCTCATGCACGTGGCATTCATTCACTAGAAATGCCATGCAGATCCCATTCAGCCCCAGCACTCGTAAATCCATGTGACACTTTTATCTATTTATAAACTTTTAACAGCAGGTTATGATTGTTATGCAAGCCATTTTCCAGGGATTAATAAGCAGCTTGTGTTGATGGCAGTGAGAAAAGCCATTAACTGCTCTGGGACAGTCATTAATCTGTAGTAAATGCTCAGCATCTGGATCTTTTCTGCATAATTAAATAATCAATACTGCCTTTTGATTGAGATAACTGGAGAATTGTATCTCAAATTTGTCTTAGCTTAGGGTATTCTTAATTCTTTTTGCTCGTGGCAGGGCAGGAAACAGCCACATGGGCAAGTGAGAGTCTGAGCTCTTTCATGCAAAACACCCCAAATGATCAAAATATAACTCAAACTGGATACCAAAATCTATTCACTGCTCATGATACAGGGAAAAAAATTTAAAAAATAAAAAAATAATAATAAAAAAGGGTTGAGAACATGTTGTCCTGTTCATGTTAATATAAAAGTCCTTCATTATTCGAGTAAAGTTACAGCACAAAGTGACCCAATATTCAGAGGCAGCCTGACAGAATAAAAATAATCAAGCAGAAAGTTCCTGTGTCCAGCTACCTCCAGAAGAGCCCCATCCTGCTAACATGACTAAGGCTGACATGGCTATGTTCTCCATTTCTCTTTCCTCTTCAGTTCTCTCTCTAGCAGAGGTGTAAGTCACTTTTCTGGTTCTGTTTTATTCTTGACTTTGCTGCTGAGTGCAGCAATCTGCAGAGGCGCTGACAGATAAAAGTAACAGTGCCCACTGCAAACCACGCTGGTGCGGTGCTGCTGCCAACTCTGCAGGGAGCCTGAGGAGGGGGAGGTCATCACAGGTGGCAAGCAGGAAGTAGGAGAGGAAAACACAAATTTCAGAAGAGAAAATGAGACTTAGTGTATCATCACAGGATCATAAATTTGCAACCTTCTGGGCTCTCTTTTCACCGCATAGCAAATCCGCACCTTGCTACAACAACTGGAAGGAGAAATAACTGCACATCTTCCTGCTAGTTGGGTTAAAGGTGAAAAAAGAGCAAGCACTCACATTGTCAGTTATCTATTAATATTTCAAGGCTGGAAAGCCAGAAGGAAGATTTTGCTAGAAATGAGAGGAGTATCACTGATTCAAGAACAAAGTTTTCAGATATAGCTAGCACTTGCAAGGCTAGGCGTGGAGAGATAAGGAAAGGGGACAGCAACCATCATAAATTCAGCTCAGCTCAGCTAAGAGCTAGCTGACTCTAGAAGAGTGAGGGCTTCCCTTTGAAAGATAGCAGAAAGGAGAGCACATGCTAAACCCTAAAGAGGAACAAGGAGCTGGAACATGAGAAGGCACGAGATCATCTGAAAGGATTTGCTGGAAAACCACAGCAAAGATTTTGAGGCAGAAGGAAAAACCCAGAATAAGAGCCAACAGGCAGAAAAGATGACAGCTTTGTCTGGGGAAAGCCTTGCTGCAATAAAACTGCTATCACCAAGAAAGGGATAGAGCCAAATGGGAAAAGGAACTCAATGTCATTATGAAATCAAAGCAGCAGGCTTAAATCAAAAGGTCTTTGGAGCAGGAGATGTGTCTAATCATGCATCGTACAGTGATGGACAGGATGGGGCTTTTTTCTTGACTTCAGCATCTGGGAATTGTCAAAAAAGCAAACAACACACAACAGAAACTGTGCCAGGACATGAGATACACACAGAGAGTGTGCATGAGAGTGGTCAGGAAATACGTTCCTGAATTTACTCCAAAATATATGATTAAAATCATTTTAATGTTGTACCTGAGCAGCCAGGCTTTGAGCATTGCAGATTTTTAGGAATGCACAATAGTGCCGGTGTGTATTATTCTAAAATGTGCAGATAAAATACTCCCTCAATCTATTTTTCTCTTGTACTAGAATCCAGGCATTATTATGCAGATTTCCACTATAGCAAAATTACAGCAGAATAAATAGCTCTGCTATACACGAAGGGGAATCCTATTACATCTTCAGTAACTCTCAGTAAGCATCATCGCTATTATACCAATTGAAGAGACAGAAAACAATTTTTAATTAAAAATATTTATAGCAGGCATAATACCAACTGCCAGTTTCACTATCCAATGAATGCATTTTGCAGCTGGTACTAATTCTCTCTTATTTCCACGAGGTTAGCCAATATCAGCTGTTCATTA